TTTAGTGTGGGCCAACTTATCGATGTGATCCTCTATCACAGGTAAAGGGAATTCATCTTTTACAATTTTACTGTTAATTTTACGATAATCTACGCAAACTCTTACCCCACCATCTTTCTTCTTTACCAAAACAAGCGGGCTAGCATATTCTGAAAAACTAGGTCTTATTACCCCATCGTTGAGCCACTCACCTATTTGGTTGTCCACTTCCTTGGTCTCCATCACAGATAATCGTCTCGGTCGCTGAGCAACTGGAATGTCGTCCTTAAGTATGATCTTCATCTCGATGGGTGCCTCCTTGGATTGCACTGGGACATAACTGTTTACCAAATCATCAACTTCCTGTCTGACCTGTGGGTTAGAAGCATAGCATGGGGATTCGTAACCTACAACACACGATATTTGCCCTAACCAATCGTCAGAGTTACTTTCAGCTGAGGAAAAAACCTTGATTGACCCCTTATTCATAACCACTATTACGTCTCTCAAGAACTCTTGCCCTAAAATTACATCGTAGGGTATTACGTCATCGGGAATAATGTGAAATATGCATTGAAATTTATGATCGTCTACCTCAATTGGTGCAGTGAATTTGCCAAAAGAACTTACTTGTTTCTTTCCGAGCCCAGTAAACATTACATTTTCTTGGGTAAACTTCGTAATTCCTAAAGTGAAAAATACTTTACATGTTATTAAATTTACATCACTACCACTATCAACCAAACTTTTAAAAGTTAAACCTTGAATAACTAGAGTCTTTAAATTGTTGTTTACATCGACACAATTTTGGGTGCCGGACGCCATCTTCCTGTCATCTGTCATTGTAGCTGTCATTCCGTCATAGACAATCGCGCCCGCGCCGCCATTGGTCGATACGCAATACTGCTTTGCCGACATTTCTCGACCGTCACGAAGATGGCTGCGGTTTCCGCCGTCATCAGCGCCACCTGCCGGACGTTTAACTTTGGCACTTGCACTTATGTTCACGTCGTTGCTATTGCACTGCGCAGCAATATGTCCGTACGAATTACAACGGAAACACTTGAGTCCTTTTGAACGATGAGGACACGCACTCGATGTATGATCCCACTCGCCACAGTTGAAACAGCGTACACTCGGCCCTCTTCTTGGTGTTGCGTTCCTATTTCGCTCTTCTTGACGTCTATTTGCCGCGTAGTTGTTTCGAGACTTCTCCTTGAATGCTTCGTACAGCTGTAGCTTCTCTTTCAGCTCTGAGTACGTCTTGACTCCGTATAGCATGATTTTGTTCGACTCTGAATCTACTATACCTTCGATTATGTACTGGATTGCAACATAATCGGCCAGCTTGCCTTTTTTCCCAATAGCTTTCATGTCAAGCATGTAATCGTAGCACTTTTCATCCTTCCTCTTCTTTCTACTCGCCATTAATTCGTGGATCTCTTTAGTGTTCGTGGTGTCTGGAAATTCTCTGGTTAGCGCCGTTTTCAGGTCATCGTAGGTTTTGAAGGGTTTTTCTGATCGTAGCCACGTTGCCGCCGTGCCAGTGAGCGACCTTCTAGCAATCAGAAGCTGCTGTGTTGACGTCAATCCGAATATTTCGGTATTGTCTTCAATCTCCTGCGCCCATCTTGTGACAGAGTAGGTTTTGTCGGTGCCACAGAATTTCGGAATGGCTTCTTCCACGAACATTAGGTTTACTGCACCTGAATTCATTTTGCTGGGCGTCGTCGTCTGCTTACTAATCGTCGTCTGGTGATCGTCGTAATCGTCGTAACCGTCGTGCGCGTGGTCGTCCTCGTGGTCGGTTTCACTGCTCCGACTTGAAACAGGTTCCTCCTTGCATTCGTCGTCGTCGTCGTCGTCTTTAATCGTAAGGAAGTCGCCGGATACCCGTCGCAGCAGAAAATCGAGCGTCCTCTTGGTAGCCACGGTGAAAATCTCGCGATGACTCGCGCCACGTGCCGGCCGTCGTCGTCGTGCACAAGTTGTTCACGTATTTTTCGTTCACGCTCAAGGAATACCGTCGCCAATATTCTTGAGAGATCCCGGACGNTTGTATTCGTTAGCCGTCTATCTGTTGTAGTGAAGCTTCAACCACAGTAACCACACCAACGCGTGCAGATCGCCATCGCCGGCGCGTTCATAGGCCAATGATCATAGGTCACACGCGACTCTACTATTCTCTGTTTATCACATCGAATGACATTGACTTTACCTACATATCATACTAGCGGCCGCCCGGGACTTCGTACGCGTGGATCCCGTTTTACCCCCTTCAGCTATCTTACGCGGTTTAGATTTTTTCATACAAATGTTTTTTCCCGCTAACTCCCGTTTCCGTGGGAATTTTGCAATATCCTGTTGTAACTAAGCTTTAAGTTTACTAAGTTACCTGCATGCCAAATTTCAAGCGTCTAACTTAAGCGGTTTAGATTTTTCATACAAAAGGATTTTCCCCCTAATTCCCGTTCCCGTGGGAATTTCGGGAATTCCTTTCTTAGTGCACCTCTACGGTACCTAAGCTACGTCCCTTCTAAATTTCAAGTGCCTACGTTTAGCCGTTTAGGCTGTGCGTTGATATGTCAGTCAGTCAGTCAGTTTCTCCTTTTATATATTTAGATTTTTTTACTACGTAGGTATGTACTTTAATTTTATCTCAAGTTACCAGACGCGGCAGCCCTCCTGAAGGCCGTTAAAATGCACTATCTCCCCTTCCGCGTCTAGACTGCGAGGGGAACTCGTTTTGCTCGGATGAAACCGACCCCACTTTTTTGCAATGTTTTGCCATTTTGCGAGCACACGGCTTCATATAATGAGAATAATCCGCGTGAGTCTAAAAATAAAATTGTGGAATACCTACATATTTTTCAACCTTATTTTTTATACTACACGATAGAATCTATCTGTTCCAGAATCCAGTGGTATTTTTAACTGTTTAAATATGATTGTTGATTGTTTGTGAACAAAAAATACTAGTACCAGTTTGGAGACAAAATAGTGTAATAGTGATATTATAAGTAAAGTAAGGTATTAGATATTTGGCAAATAATTATTTGGTGAAAAAATACCACGCATTTAAATAATTTACTTTTTTAGGTTCTCTGTGATGTACTTACTTGATTTGATTTGCGCAATACTGTTAAGTTATTACTACCTATTTTGTTTTATGAATTATGATATTTAAAGAGACTTCTAAAACTTCTTTTTGAAAATAAAGAATAATTCACATAAATAAATCCTTACTATGTATGTAGCACGTAGCACTAAGCCCTTTCCAGGGTACTTAGGCACTTCCCAAATATTATAGTTTACTCTACCGCCGACTCATGCTAAAACAAAGACTTTCTGGAAGTTCTAAAAGAATTTGAAGCACTTTATTATTCACATTTTCCAAAAAATGGGCCACAAATTTGCGTATCCTGACAGAGATGGTAAACTCATTGTTATTTTTTATAGTAACTAAATTTAACAAACGTCAAAAATCTGTCAAACTAGTTTAAAAATACCGGTTGTTGTTATATTTACGGTCAATGTAAGGTGGTGCACGGTGGTGCACCTCCGCCTTAATGTTTTCTTTTTTTTTTTAATGAAAACTTAAAATTGAAGTGTGTCTAAGTACCTACATCCTACATTTAACGGAACTAGAACATTCGCCATCTAATCTGGGCCCAGACAACGGCCATGCGTCTCTGTTTACAAATATAAAGCGCTCAATGAAAACTGCGCAATTTGTTTGGTAAACATGCTCGGAAAATTACTCGAGTGTTCTCGAACTTATCGGCTTATCGACAATCCCCTTAATTGTCCTCAGATAAGGTTCTCTTTGCTGTAACAGCTGTGGTTCAGGCGCGCACACAAGGCTGGAGTGTGTGTGGTGGAAACGCACACATAGAGAGGTAACAGCTGATGGTTCATATTTATATTTTATTGTTTTGTTTTGATAACGAAAGAGCGAAAAAATAATGGGCGTAAAATATGCCAGATGAATCGAACTTAATAATGTAGATAGATGTAGAGTCGCAAAAATAACTCTGCGAAAATTTTAAAATATAGAGAACCCACGATACTTGTCTCAAGTTAGTAACATAATATGAAGATTGCTATATACGTTTGATAAATAAATGAAGAGATTGATAAGGATCAATTGTAGACAAATGAATTGCCAAGGAAGAAGAGACTCTGAGAGTAACTATAAGGTAATGTGCTTTAGGAGTGTTTATTAGCTTCTTTTTTTAAGAAATCATTCGAAAAAGCCACCTTGACTATACTTATAGTATATTTTATGTGCCGAACTAAAACACCAGCTACTGCTGTGTGGGTATGATTCTTTCTAGAGTCAAAAGTTAATGTAATGCGCACGAGTCATGGACGTTTAGCAGTAGTTATATAACTATCTATTTAAGGATGTTTATGAGTTCAATCACCATGTGCATGAATATGTGTGTCTTTTTACGCTATGACGACAATATACGTATAGGTCTTATTAGTTAGTCATCATTACATCATCAGCAACTTAGCGAGCTCCTTTTACCAGTCTGTTGTGATTGTGACGTCAGCATAAAAGCCTTCGTGAATCAGCTGTTCTCGGAACTTGAATGTACGTCACAACACCGCACGTGCCTGGAGGTCGACTGCGCCACATTCAGGCAAAAATATTGATCTCAGTCTATTTTTAGACCGTGACCGTTTGGAAGCCGAAATGGCGATTTGGAAGTGGCAATCTGAATTTTATGTGAACAGCTTTTGCCCGCGGTTTCGGCTGCGTGAATTCTGGTCTGTCATTGAAATCGTTCGGGTCCCGTTATAAGAACCGGGATAAAAAGTATCCTATGATTTTTCCTGGGTTGAGACCCAGATGGCTTGAGAGCCATCTCTATTGTTACTGTGAAAAAGTAAAGACAGACTTAAATAGGCTGAATTTCGCAAGAATTGTTATTACCTATAAATAAATAAGTTATTCTTACGAACAAAATGTATTTATTGCGTCACTGCACTGGTAAGTACTTATAATTTTTTTCCTGTTAACTGTTATGTGATAATGGGGTCACTACACTAGGTTAGTCATCCACCATCTGGTGACTGAATAATCATTTAAGTGTTTTGTGAAAACAGGCTTTCAAAAACAGCTTTTACACGAATATTAGGCAGGTATAATACGAATGTTCACCGAACAATGAACATGAACCGATCCATGTTCAAAAAACGCAATGTCCTGGGAACAACTAACAAAATAACTTACCTGAAATTGTGTGCTCTACCTGGAAATACCCAGGTAGAAAAAGGACAACATTCCTATACCACCTCCAAAATTAAAAATAACAATTACCTATTATGGAACGAATACAATGTACCTATTTAGAAATTAGAGTAAAATGGGATGCTTTACATTTCTCATATTTTTAAAACTTTGTGTAAGTTAGAAGCAGGTAGGTACCGAAATGAAGCCTAAAAAAGGCTAAGCTTGTGTAAGTAACAAGCAGGTATCTAAAAGAAACCGAAAAATAAGAATAGTAACCGCCTCTGTGGTCTAGTGGTAAGACCACCTGCTTCAGACGCAGAGGTCCCGGTTCGATTCCCAGTGGAGGCAGATTTTTCTTTTCGGTTTGGTTGATGGTAGGTCTTGTTCTAAGTCCGCCTGGCTAGCTACCACCATCTTACCTAAGTCTGTCGCCATAACAACAATGTTAACAGCATTGTTGTGTTCCGGCAGTTAGAGGTAAGATAGCCAGTTCCTCCGTGGTTGAGGATTCCGGGTGAAGCTCGCTTCCACCTTCGGCCTGATCGTCACTTACTATCAGGTGAGATACAGGCCAAGAGCTTCCTCGTTGTGGATAAAAAAAATAGTGGTGAAATGAATGTTATTGACAACGCCACTCTTGTTTCGGAGTTTTGGGCTGACACTGTATACCTACTTATAAGTTTGTTGTCGACACGACAAGAAGAAGAATAATAGTGGTAAAAGAAAAGCCAAAAGAACTCCTAACCTTCACAAATTTTCCAATAAGTAAGTAGGTAAGACCTTCAATCCATTAAATTAATGTAGTCTACATTTTACACATAAAGACGACTCGACACGCGAACTGGCGATTCTCCTAATGGAAAATGGTTATAAAAGAAAACTTCTAGATAATTGAAGGACAAAGTTGTCTAGAGCAGGTTTTGGAGACAACAACATTGATGGAAAAAGTCTTCCAAATACTTCACCGCTCTACATTTTGCAGTGTAGGTAGAAGCTTTACAAGATTTTATTTTTATTATCGAATATCTACTTATCAGCACGATTTTAAATCTTAATCTGGGAATAAAACCAAAGCCTTATCAAAATATGTAGATTTCCGAAGCATCTACAGATATGTGTTGCATTGTGTTATGAAGGTAGGATGTTCAACAAACAAAAATAACAACCTGCCATCTTATCTTTTCTATATGTGATATGGTTTATCTAGAATAACCTAGGTACACAAGACAGCACATTAGATTATTTATGTTGCAAAATCGTCCCAATTACAACTACGTATATGCCACATAAAAAAGCCTGACGTACCATCGTCTGTACTTTGGCAAAACATTAGGTCTAATACTTACTTTTACTTTGATATCCTCTCACACCTATATCTCCTAAGACACCATGGTCCAGAAATGTGGATGGAATTATGTCTGATTCATGACAGCAAATTCCAGAGATAAATACTCCCAGGCTCTACAAAAGAATTCCTGGGCTGGGATATGCCTATCTCAAACGGAACTGAGACCCCCGACCAATGTCAGTCACGTGTCGATGCTGCACTCGTTTCACATCACATGTCACCCTCACAAGCTAAAGGTTAATCTCAGCTATTCACAAATGGACAAATTGTGACAACAGCGTGTTTTCAACGCACACACGCAAACTTTGTTTTGACGCATCACCCACACAGCTGGGCCGTTTACAGGCATCACGTTTACACACACACAGGGAAACCTTGGCTCGCGTGCCGCGCACACGAGGCTAGGATCGTCCGATGACGCGAGAGGGGGCTGAGGAAGGCAAACGAGAGGGGGGAGGACAGGATGGGCACTCTATATAGCGGGCGCGGACGCACGACCAATCAGTTTCGTTTCCAACGTAAACACAGACTTTCCTAAGAGGACAACCTAGAGACTTCGTTCGGCCTAGGCCAAGGAAATGGGTACGTTCACCTTTGATTGATCATCAACTATCTGTCTCATCCTTCAAATTTTCAGTCGTCTCATTTCTGTAAAGTATAATTCTTAATTTTTATCAAACTTTGGAAATCATTGTCATTTGCCGGCTCCTCTACCGATACCAAAACAATATGTACAGGTTGTGGTTTTCTTTTGTCTTCTCTGTTGTCTGAAGATGCAGTGTCTCTGATGCGATCTCTCAGTTACAGCCCGTCGATGTTCAACTCAGCAGTATGACGTCATCATTGCGGAAAATTATGCGCAATACGGTTTTCTAATAAATTCCTGATATAATTTACAGCTTGCCAAATTATTTACCCGAATTGACTTTCTACTCTTTAAAACCTGAGTTGAACAAAGTTGCACAGAGCAACTGAAACATCAATCTGTTTGTGAATAAAATTGAAATAACAACAAACACTTGTGTTATTTACCAATCAACCTGTACACACAGTATCAATATCAGTAGTTTTCAATGTTGCGACATAGCAACACGATATAAAAATATGCACAACATAATTCAATAATGCCTATATCAACAACTACTCTACCAAGGTTTATTCGCAAGTACGAGTTACTTTATTCACCTAGATTTTTGATACTGTTGAGTGTAGACTGACTGCTAGACTCTACGTTAGTTCTTTACATTCAGCCAATAAGTGCGCTTCATTATTTTTCGATTTATCATTCACTGATACTGACCATCAAAATCAAATTACTTTTCTCAGTACTCTGATTATGTCAATTACCATTATCAATTTATTATTTAAAAAGTAATTGATAGTATGCTGATTGATAAAAGATATAGGTAATAATTGACACTGTCTCTTGGACGAATTAACACTGTCTCAATTTGGCTCTGCCCGATTAAACAATTTCCAAAATTGAAGTGAGGTTGAGTTTTGACCACACAATTTTCACATATCGTATCGTAATGTAATTAGTGTAACCATAGAGTCGTATCGTAATGTAATTAGTGTAACGATACGATAATTAGTATCGTATCGTATCGTAATGTAATTAGTGTAACCATAGAGTTCCCATAGTGCTATATACATAGACACCATCTGTTGTCTAGGACAATATCTAGTTAAGCGCAATTTTCTAGCCAGCTCAAATGGTTGGCCTATAAGTATTATGCAATAGGGTAGGGGGTGGTAGACCATCGATCGATGATGTCCTATGACTCACCTGAGACCTTGACTGGCACTAGTAATGCCCGCAGCGTTATCGGTAGTGCAAAAAGCATCTGTATATCTATTAGGTAGGTAGGTACTAGCTTTTGCCCGCGGTTTCGTCCGCCTAAAATTCAGTTTGTCATTGAAAGACTTACTTACTTGATACTTATTGTTGCAATTTGGGCAATAAACTCAATATCGCTATAAATTACTGTAAAGTCTCATAAAAATCCCTTCAGTAGTTTTTGCGTAAGAGAGTAACAAACATCCATCCATGCATCCATTCTCTTACTTTTCATCTTCTTTACATTAGTAGTAGGATGGGATAGGAAGTACATAGGATAGGAATTCAAGAGTTGCGACGGAATAGACACATAATACCTACGGGAAAAGTGGATTAGTGAACTTCAGTTACTATGGAAAAGTAATTGGGACCGTAACCAGGCAACGAAGGGGTATTGAACGCAAATCCAGGGCCTATTAATGGGTGGCATTCATTTTCTTGATCATTCAGCCAACTTTAGATGATAGATAGATGAACTTTTTTTTAAACTTTCGCGTTCCATTTCAACTAAAATAGATAGATACCCGTGTTTCTCTACATTATGTGCGTATATTATAAATTGCTCCACTTTTATATGACCTGAATCTACGAGTACCATCAGACATAAGGTTTATCTAACAAATGTAGAGCATACGGCACTCGTTCGAATCTAATTAATAAATCGTTATTTAGTTCGAATCTAATTAACTATCAACATATTTTAACTATAAACTTCTTCTGTGACCTAGCTACCTCTCTGAATAAATTACGAAAAATAATTTAGATTGATCACGTAAGGACACAAGTTACTTAAATTGGTAATTGAAGAGTCCCTTTAGAATATTTTTAATTGATTATGACGTAAATAAAAGCCATGAAACTTTCCCAGTATCTGAATGGGGAAATTACCAACATTCAATGAGATGCCTATACATTGTGACGTCAGTACATAATTACACATAACTAATCATCATACTTAAGAACAATAGCGAGTAATAATCGTACCTAATGCAGTTTTACTCGTAGACGTTATGTATAATTATCTCGAGATACCTACTCAATTTTAATTACGGTCTCATGATGGTAATAATATGCACAATGCTAATTACCATGTTGATTTTAACTCTAATACTCGATCATTATCCTAATTTTGTAAACTTAAGGAAGGATAAAGGGGTACAATCGTACAAAATTCAATAGACAGTATTCAAATTCAAATTCATTTATTTCTTTGTAGTTATTAACAATAGAAAGATGTTAAAACAAGACAAAATAAGCGGTGTTAACATTTCTTCGTATTATCTGCAGTTATTTACAATTCTAAATAACTGCTTAGACAACAAATGTATGTACCTAATTGCTTCAGTTTATTTTTCAATTCCATATTTACGAGACTTTGTGTTCATAAATAAATTAATCACGAATTCAGGATCTACTGTTACGAAACGTCTGAAACTCATTAGGTCGTTTTCATTTACTCTCATTACTTATAGCTTCTTAACCAGAGTTTGCAACAACTAACGTATTTTCCTTCTTTCCAGATATGATAAACATAAAACCGTTAAGTAAGGACGAGTGGTCTCCCGATGCGCCGGTCGGCGTGGAGGCCACAGGGGCAGCGGGGCGCCTGGCAGGCCCCGCCACCGCATCAACCTCCTCGGAGGAGCGCGCCCTGCGCCGCGTCATGGGGCGCTGGGGCACCGAGTGGTTGAGCTGACTCGGCTCGGGCGTCCCCACTCCGGGGCCCCAGTGGCCCCTCGACCACCCCCTGCCGCCCCCGCGGTGGGGTGGGCCCCGCCCGGCTTTGCACCTCACCCTCCAGCAATACGAGGAGATGGTCGCGAAAGCCGAGGCGCTGTTGAGCCGTCTCGTCGTCTCAGAGAACTACGACTCCGTCAACAATTTCCTCAGTCTGTATGATTCGTACATGGCAGCTCCGGACGAGGACCTGAAGACGTTCTTCCCTAAATACAACCCGCCGATCCGCGCCCACAAGCACACCTGTGTGGGCCTGGCCATGGAAGTGATGAAGCGTCTTAAAGTCCTGGAGCAGGATTACCCCGGCATCACCAAAGCAATGATGCTGGTGTCCTGTGATGAGAATATTGGAGATCTGATGGATTATACAACGTCGTTCCCAGGCCCTCAGGGTTTCTTGATCGAGACAGAGAAGGATCACGTCATGCTGGCGATTCACGTGAGAGTCGGAGGTCGAGCTGGTGTTTTCTTGTCAGATTTGGGCTATCACATCTCCCGAGTCGTCACGGTGATGGCTGACCGCTGTTACCCGCATACGGGTAGGTATCTTTTTGAAGAAATGTTTACTATTACGAATATTTCGGCCTGATACTAATGTATTTTGTGTTTTTACAGGTTGGTTCACCCAATCCGACGAGCCGCATTGCCGCAAGGAGTACAACTACCAGTTCAACCCTCAGAACAGCAACTATGTGGAGTGGCACGAGCGAGAGACCAGAGGCAAGACCGTGAAGGAACGGTTGTCGCTGGTCTACGTGGCCAAGGCCTACCTCACGGCCGTCAGCGTCACGGAGAAAAGGAATTTGATCTGGGACTTGAGGTTAGTATACTTAGTAATCATTTAGCAAGCTTTTTTAGGAATGAGAGTACCTACTTTTTCTTACTAAAAGTAAAAGGATAGTCAATAAAGATACAATTCTTTTTACAGGAGTCTTCTGGCAAGGGACCCCAAGGGCCACCTGCAGGCCGGTATCTACTTCTACATCAAACCGAAGGACCAGCAGTTCACCATGTTCTTCAACAGCAACAGCGGAAAGCAGAGGAAGAAGCTCAAGTTTGAAACCTTCTTGGAGCTTCAGAAGGTAATTAGGCCACCATTTTCATCATTTTATCATAAGTTCTAGGGGTTTACCAATGTATATTTATTCCCTAAAAAGGAAAAAACGTGACGCAAAACAGAAATATAAGTATTTAGAAGATATCTTTGGCTTGAACTTGGCTTTTTAGCAGAAATAGCGCTCATTGAAGAAAACTGGAAGCTAAATATAGGCATTACTGACGTCATCCGCATCCCATATTTCCATAGATTGGAAGATAGCCAATGCAACGGCATATCCCAAATATTATGTTGCCAAAAATGTGTCTGGATAAAATTTATTTAATAACTTTCACTGAAGACGCATTCCTATTAGCATTTATTAATGCTCTTCTGAAAACGGTAATTTGGCTGAAATATGAGGGTTAAGCTGAACTTGTACTAAAAATAAATTGTAACTAATGTAGGAGGAATCTTACCACTACCATGCTTTTTTAAAGAAGAAGTTCTTAACTCTACTATTGGTGAATTCCGTTCCGTGTGAGAGTGTAATTTTAAAAAGTCTTACTTTGTAGCCATTGGTAACATTATGTTATCGTAGTATCATTAGCTCAACTCAGACTTCGTAAATAAATTAGAATCAACCTTTTCTAAGACGGTATCGAGCATTATAGATGTATAGGCAATTAAAGTTTGTAACGCTTTTAATCCTGGTATCAAATAAATAATTTCTTTCTTTCTTTCTTTCTAAAGTTGTTGCATCATATGCTTTAACTCCTACTCCTTAACTTCCAGATTCCCGACGAAGTAGTAGACGAAGTGGAACAGTGCAACGACCAACTGCACTTAAGGGATGGTGAGCTTCTGTCAATCTTGAACCGGCTGGCGAACATCATGGCCGACCAGGAGTACGTCGCAGAACACCTGGAGATCAACGAGAAAGTCATCCAGCTTTCAGCGGCCGCCTAAACTGGCCGAAAACAACGCTTGTAGATTAAAAACTTAAAGCACGCATCCTTCTTGTTATATATTTTTTTAATCTTTTTTATTTTTTCATAATATGACCAGTGTTTTGTAACTTCTTCTTGTTTCTCGTATTTGTTCGTAGCCAGTGTTATAATTTGAAAAACTTATCATGTATTTTTATTAGCGAAGAGTTTAGATGTATTTATGTTCCCATGAACATTTAAAACAAAATTGAGGTAATTTAAAGAGTTTAGTTAGATAGCTATCTAGATGTTTTGTATTAAACTAGTACACATTTAGAACATCCTTTAATCGTCAAAAAATACTTGTAGAGCTAGGTATTTTTCGTAGCACGCATTGTATAACTCTGTACCATTAAGGTTATTATAGTATTGTCAGCTAAGTAAAATGTACATCTTAGGGAAATATTTTTGTTATGATCTTATTTTTTTGGTATATTATTTTGTTTTATGACTACTTTTGAGTAAGTTTTGATTGAATATTATGTATTTCTTTCTTATGCATGCTAGTTTGCTTAGAATCACGTTGACGTAGACTTGTAGGCGAAGTAGTTTGTAGAAAGGCTCTGAGATTCGATTCGAGAAACGGCTCAACGGGGAAATAAATAAAATTAAAAAATTACCTCAATTGTTTTATTAAGGAATACTTACCTATATTTACTATCTATCTACATAAACAGTACAAAATAAGAACATTTGTAGTACAAAAGTCACATATCGAGACATTTAAAAGAGAGCTTGTTATCTGTGATGTGACATCATCCTTAGAAACATACTTGGAAATAAGCAGGATGAGATATAAGGGATACTACTTATGGTCCTATGTCCCCTAGATGGGGCAGAGGGCGTCCACAACAGTCAAGATATAAGGGATAAAGAACCCAATAACAATTAAGAAAATGGCAATTTCTTTTTTGAACTAAGTAGTTGATTGAAACCTGCAATGTGATTGTCCCATATGAGGGTGGAAACCAGAACCTCCTGCAACAATATAAATATGTATGTGGCAACATAATAATACGCTTTCAGCACGCTCAAAGAATTTCTCATCTCTGGTTCATTCAAGTAAAACAAATAACGAAGAATTCATACAAAAATACAACAACTTTAAAACCTTTCCCAGTTTCATAAAAATATTACAGGCTTTAACCAAACTAGAAAGAAGCGTTTCATGGGCGTAACCAGCTTTTGCCCTAGGGGAAGGGACAAGTCATAACCAGCCCCAGCTTCAGGTCTAGGGGGGGCAAGTGCGATTTTTTTTAAATCAGATTCTTTGAGTTAGCTCCTTCAAAGCGATTTCCAGGTGGGGCAGCGGCCCTTCCCTGCCCCCTCCCCCGCCCTGGGTACGACCATTAAAGCTTTTATAATCACTAGTGCCCCAATTATACATAGGTACCTACATACTTTATTCCCTTTAAAAGCAAAGTGACATTGTTTGTCTACGGTCGAGGGTTCAAATTAGCATATTATTATCGAAAATAATATCTAGCAGCACAATATATTGATCTGGGTACGAGAAACTAGAAGGCTCAGGTTGCCAGGTATACCGAAAATGTCAATTTAAATAACAATAAAGACGATGACCTCACATGAAAGTCACATGAAGATGAAACCAACAGTAATTAGATGCTACGAGACTACGGTGCTACGAACTTTATGGGTTGGTCGACCCCTAATTAAGTAATAGTATAGGTAAATGGTAAGTCGTATATTTGTCTTAATTAAGTAATATAGGTAATTGTAAGTCGTATATTTGTCTTAATTAAGTAATATAGGTAAATTGTAAGTCGTATATTTGTCTTCTTTTTGTGGAGACTCTGTTAAATTCTGTAGTATAGAACTGCCTAGATTTTACATTAAGTACTGAAAAAATTACGTAGTACGACCCTGAAACCTCGAGGGAAATAGGTTCAATAAACTACAAAATATACGATATCAAATAGGTAGTAGAAATCAGTCATAAAAAGTACCTATTTATATTCACAAGGATCACGTATTTCAGCGTTTCTTAAGAATACTGAATGTAATCTTGAAAACTTATTAAAAACAGAGTCTAGCTCTGGCAGGTAAGTAAGTAATAGTGCCTGAGGTTCTTGCGCTGTTGTAGATCTTGGATACTATATTATTTGCTGTTTGGGCAAGTGGGGACAGTTAATGTAGCACTGAATTTAGCACCTTTCAAAAAATATAGAGTTCTGAATTCAGTCATGGCAACTTTGCCTTTAGTTGTTCAGAAGGGACATGAATTATAGCAGTTTTAAGGTAGCTTAAACCGCGTTTCTACGCGTGTACATTGTGGTTTATTTATCACTTTAAACTATTAACAGTGTTCCGAAACTCTAAGGGAGATACTATAAATGATCCAGGAATACTTATTATACATTTGCTTCTTACAAATATAGGTTAAGTATGTTCCTATTTAATTAATACTTCATCATTCTCATCACTTCTTTAAATATTGGTATGGTTTATTTGTTTTAACATTATTTTAGGACGATTCTTATCGATGCAAGTAAGTTCATAAAAATGTTTCACTCAAATACAAATAATCGTTCGTGACTAAATGACTCTACCCACCAACACCTAGCCTCTATGACACATACACACATATAACTTCCTCGTGGGACTCTAATCAATTAGAAACACTATGATCTAATTGCATTGTCGTGTACTTTTTATTTGCACTACTTACATAACAACACTAACCATAGTGTGGCATGAAAACGCGTCATGCTCGTGACGTCATCATTTCATAATAACACACAATGGCATACCTATCAATGTTTGTTTAATCTATCATCATTTACGCAGAAGTGATCGCCGTCAAAATTAGCTGTATCTACTTTTTCAAAACAATGCTTTGGTCGTGTTTATTTTCTGATTTATTTTTAACAGTCAAGGTTACCTTATCAAATTACTAATAATAATTTATTTAATTTTATCAGGTATTATTATGCCATTTTTATCGTAATAAATCGCACTCTTAGTAAAACCAATTATGACTGGTGCACGTACTGATATTCCAACAACAAAAGTAAATTAACATTTAATTGGAAAAGGCTATGTATAGAGCAGTGGTTCCCAAAGTTGTCTGGGCTACGACTCATATAATACAAGTTCCTAAACTCGGGTGGTTGGTGTATCGTTCTACAGGCAGGCAGGGCCCACTCAATGTTCGCTCCCGACCCACCACTGGGTCACGACCCATAGTTTCGGAAACCCTGATCTAGAGTTTCATCTACACAATAGGTACATATTTCCTCTTTTTTCTATTGCAAAATTCTTGGGCATTTACTGTGTAGTCAGTGTAAGGGGCTTCCTACAACACCAATCTTGCAAAATAAGGATTTGTACAGCCCACACTGTAATCATTATTAATAATAACTACGAGTAAACCTGATTTTTTGCATCACCTAACAAAGTGCATCACGAGTTCAAGAAAATAAACAATTAGTTCTAATGCGTTCTAAGAATACTATGTAGTCACTAGCTCTCTTTTGATTTCAAACACGATCAAATACTAATTTAGGTTGTAGACTTCTTGTATAAATGATCGAATCGAAATTTCAGGTACTACAAAGGCTTCATTGTAGCATGTTAAGTTAAGCCATCTCAGACTCCTAAGCAGTTCAGATAAATCAGGTAATACAAAGGCTTCGTATAGCATGTTAAGCCATTTCAGAATCGCAGTTACAAAACTGCGACCACAATCCATTCGATAAACCATTATTTAAACTTAAGTGGCATTGTCATCTAATATAACTCAAAGGTGACTGACTGACTGATTGACTGACATAGTGATCTATCAACGCATAGCCCAAACCACGGGACGGATCGGGCTGAAATTTGCCATGCATGTAGATGTCATAACGTAGGCATTCGCTAAGAAAGGATTTTACGAAACTCCACTCATAAGGGGGTAAAACGGGATCCACGCCTACGAAGTCGCGGGCGGCCGCTAATAATATAATAAAACGCAATGACCTAAAGCGATATTCGTGTCGGGCGCACGTGTCCTGATAACGGCCGTCACTCCTGCCCCGAGTGATTGACATGCTACATTATGCCTGTTAGATTAGTTCAGAATGTTTATGCGGAACAAAACCTTTCATGATTACTCCAGTAACTATACAGGATGTTAGGTAAATGGGTATATGAGCCGACACTACCCCATGTTAAATGGGCATATAAATGGTATGGTGAAGTCAGAAATTTGATATCATCATTTTAATTTTTTAAACTTTCATACAAAATAAATTTTATAAAATCCGATTTGTATGAAAATTAAAATAATTAAAATGAAGATATCAATTTTCTGACTTCACCATACCATTTATATGCCCATGTTGCTAGTGTCGGCTCATATACCCATTTACCTAACACCCTGTATACTACAACAATTGTTACGAGAGTTCGTCTGTGATTAATAATTTTAATAGTTGGAATTCCAATTCACTCTACCCCTAAAGGATCGCTATTTCTAATATCGCTAGCCCGAATGAAACTAATCGAATAAATCTCATGAATGCACGCAATCCCGTATCACTAAACTTATTCAAAATCGAATAGCCCGCATCACCTCCAAACAAAATAGAAGGAATGTTTTTGATAAAACATTTGGTGAATTATTTCTGATACAATGTACATACATCTACATTTTTGTTCGTGATTTTAAATTGACTTCTTATGCCTCGCCTATCTCATTACGCGTTTAAATTGTAATTACTAAGTAAAATGCTACATGGTCGTAGACTCGTAGCAGCTACGTTCGTAGCAATAGGGACAACATAGTTGTAGCATAGACTCGTAACGTGGTCGTAGCATAGAGGTAGCAGTAGGGAGCAACGTATTCGTAGCATAGACGTCGTAGCAGTAAAGAGCAACGTAGTCGTAGCATACAGGTAGCAGTAGGGAGCAACGTAGTCGTAGCATAGACGGCGTAGCAGTTAGGAGCAACGTAGTCGTAGCAGGTACGTTCGTAGCAAAAGGGAGCAATATAGTTGTAGCATAGACTCGTAACGTGTGGTCGTAGCATAGATGTAGCAGTAGGAGCAACGTACTCGTAGCATAGACGTCGTAGCAGTTAGGAGCAACGTAGTCGTAGCAGCTACGTTCGTAGCAACAGGGAGTAATATAGTTGTAGCATAGACTCGTAACGTGGTCGTAGCATAGATGTAGCAGTAAGGAGCAACGTAGTAGTAGCATAGAGGTAGCAGTAAGGAGCAACGTAGTAGTAGCATAGAGGTAGCAGTAAGGAGCAACGTAGTAGTAGCATAGAGGTAGCAGTAGGGAGCAACGTAGTCGTAGCATAGACGTCGTAGCAGTTAGGAGCAACGTAGTCGTAGCAGCTACGTTCGTAGCAACAGGGAGTAATATAGTTGTAGCATAGACTCGTAACGCGGTCGTAGCATAGATGTAGCAGTAGGGAGCAACGTAGTCGTAGCATAGAATGTAGCAGTAGGGAGCAACGTAGTCGCAGAATAGACGTAGTACAGTACTTATTATTATTCTGTGGTAGTACGTATCAATAGGGTGCTAGATAGTCGTAGGTGATCGTAGCGCGTAGATTAACCTGAGACAATCCTCTTTAAATGTCACGTAAAGGGCAACTAAGGGTAACCT